ATTTTTCTTTTTTTTTTTTTTTTTAACTCCCTCCCATATTTATAGCATGTTTGCTAAAACTTTAAAATCGGCTTATTTTAAATTTTTTTAAAAAATACAAAGTTTGTATTTGACTAATAATTTTTAAAAAAATTTAAGAATAATTAGTGTTTAGCTAAGCTTTAAAAAAAATTTTACGTGCATTTTTCTAAAAAAATATACTTTTGGAAAGACGCTATTTTTTTCTGCTCTCAGAAATATTTGTGCTTTTATTTAAAAGTATTTTTTTTCTCTAAATGCTTGGCTAAACACCTTAATTTTTAAAAAAACACTGTTACCTAAAAAAGGAAAAAATTCAAAAAATAACTAGATTTACAAGTGGTCATTCAAAAATAGCCACAGTTTCAAAAGTAATCGAAATTTAGCCACTTTTTATGTAAAGATAAATCTGAACGAAAACACTGTTCAAAATCCAGAAAAATACTCCAGTATAATATACCGGTCCAGCATAATATGTTGGAAGTTCATACACAAGTGCACCGAACTCCAGTATATTATGCTGGATCGGTCTCTGTTGCAGCAAAATAATGACTATTTTTTAATAACTTGGCAAATACTGACTATTTTTGAATAACCAGTCCGAAAACTGACTAGCCCGTGCTATTTTAACCCTAAAAAAAAATACTTTTAAGCAAAAAAAGAAAAAAAACTTGGCCATACCAAAAACCAGACTATTAATAACATACCAAAATCTTTTACCGGAAAATTCGATTCTCTTTCTATAAATCCAAATCGAATCTTTTTCTCTCAATTTGAATAGCATATATAATCCCTATTATCACAACAATTTTAAAAAAAAAGTATTTCTTAGAAGCAAAGAAAACCATTTGGGGAGGAAAACTAAAAAGAAAACAATTAAAAAAAACTGTGTGTATATAGGGTAAAAACTTGACTCATTTCCAGCAAGTTGAAGAGAAGTTTCAGTTGGCCAGTGATTCTTGTTTCCTTGTTTAGAAACAAACCGTTTACTTCATTATCAAAATTTATTACTTCTGCCTTCAATTAGGGTTCTACTTCAAGGTCTGTATCCAATATATATACATACATTTTGCTGTTTCTGCAATATATACAGAATCTCTTTTAGGTATTGATTGATAGATTAGTTTTGATTTTTGTGATATTTTTTTTTTTGTGTTTTTGGGGTTTGTTGTTTAGTACATTTATAAAGTTGGATATAAGATTTTCATTATTTAGTGGTAGATTATGCTTAGAGTTTAATTAGATTATGGTTTCTTTGATTATTGAATACTTTGTTCATTTTGCTGAATTTAGGGGTTGATTATTGGATAATACTAATTGGTTATTCTTTTTGTTTGTCTGCTTTGATTGAAAAAATTGGATCTTGCAGTTGGTTTGTGTGTTTGTGTGTGTGAAAGTTTGGTGTTAGGCTTTGTGAGGAGTACCTCAGTTTGCTGTTTTTAATAAATATTATTAATTATTAATATTAATTTTTATTAAGTAAAAGTTTCTGCTGTCTATACAGTTGGTTCAGTTTATACAGAATATCTTTTAGATATTGATTATTAGATTGGTTTTGTTTTTTTGGGGTAATTACAGTTTAATCCATTTCTAAAAATTTCATTTTTAGTGATAGATTATGCTTAATAAGATTATGGTTTCTTGATTATTGGATTCTTTATTCAGTTTGCTGAGTTTGGGGGTTGATTCCTTATTGGATAATAGTACTAATTGGTTACATATTACCTTTTCTGGCCCCACTTGTAGGATTATATTGGTTTTGCTGCTGTTGTTGATTATAGTTATGTCCATTTCCTAAGATTTGGTTTTGGGATTTTGGGGTCTTTATAATTTGGTCCATTTTCAAAGATTTCACTATTTAGTGTTAGATTATGCTTAGAGTTTAATTGGATTTTGTGTTTCTTGGTTAATGGGTAATACTAATTGGTTTTGTTGTCTGCTTTGGTGAAAAAAAATTGGATCTTGCAGTTGGGGTTTCTCTGCAGAAGAAGAAGAAGAAAATGGCATTGTTGAACAATTGTGAAAATATGGGGTTAGGCATTGTGAGGAGTACCTCGTTTGGGCGAAAACGAGTCACTTTATCGAATGCAGTAGACGTTGATTTCATTTCAACAATGCCCACGAAAAGATTCTGCGGTCAGAACTCATTTTCTACGAACGAGAAATCTGGTCTTGAATCCTTGCCTAAAGATATCTTGGTTAGTACAGAATCTATTTCTTTTTGTGTATAGTTTAGGAGATGTGAGCTTAATTTTGCTGAAACAGATGTGCTTCTTTATGCAGATAAGGATAGTGTGTGGAGTTGATCATGATGATTTGAAGAGTCTGTTTCATGTATCAACGGCAATTAGAGAAGTGGTAAGTGTTAATTTTTTATGAAATATTGTCAAATATCGATTGAGGAAGTAGCAATTAATCTAAGTATTGATGACCTGTTGTTTTTTGATGTATGTATGAGCAGACTCTGATTGCGAAAAGATTGCATTTTGAATTTAGTACACCGAGAAAGACTCTTCCTTTTCGGAATGTTTTTGATGTGGATACTGATGAGGTAGAACCACCAAATGCTCCAAAGCTGTCGAAGATTACCAGGTCTCGATTGAGCAGGAAAAGGCTGGCTGAGATCTCTGTAGCCTTGTTTGCCTCGGATGGCGAAGAAAATTGGCCATAGAGAGAGTTATTTATACAATTGGAAACTGAGGTGTAGAACTAAAAACAGATCATGTATAGCTATTATTGTAGTAGAAACCTATGTTGCTCGGACTGTCCGAAATGTCGGGGGATGCATGTCGGATCCTTCAAAAGTAGTGCATTTTTGGCGGATCTGACACGGGTGCAACAACATTTTGGAGAGTTTGCGCAATATAAGTAGAAACTCAAGAAGGAAATCTTTTTCAAAAGGAAGTGCTTGATCTGATATCTCACCGGGAAGAAAGGTTCGGGGAGATGCACTTGAAGATCACTTGCCCAGTTCTGGAAGGACATGAGTGGAGAATTGTCACCAGATTTGAGCCGCCGTCAATACACTGTTTCATCGTTAGACGGAGCTCTCTCTTTATCATCCTCGTGCTAGATGCCACATTCTTTTTCCTACTTGCGAACCACAGGAACGCCTAGCGCGCAGAGGAAGTCCAACTCAAGGGGAGCTTAGATTGCACATACACTATAATGGTTGAACAGAGATCAACGAATGGACCAAGCACGACAGCGATGCGAACCAGGTTTACATGTCACAACAAATTTTTACAAGCCATTGTTTTTCAACTCTATCATTGAAGATGGGCTTGATTGTTTGTATTGATAGTTAGTTTTAGGGATTCTATTTGAAGGGGCTGCTCTGGCACTTCTGATTTCATAAGAATTTCAGTTGTACATATGGAATTCCACGCATTCTTGTGGTACTAATACTACAGATTTATGTTTAATGAAATAAAAATGTGTTCTGTTTTCCACTTCTATTACCCCAAAATGTTTGAGTTCTTCATTGGTTTATTACTATTTAGATCATTTTATCATCTCGAGCCGTAGAAGCAGTCACTAATGTTGTCATTAGAGTAGGTTGTTTATATCACACCCTTTGGGGTGAGAGTCGTGGAAACGCTTGTTTCTTTCATATTTTGGACCTAAGCTTCATGGAATAATATGCTACTGCTGAAACACGGAAGAATTGAAATCTTATATCAAAACACTATGTATGGATGGTATGAACTGCCTAAACAAGAATTCTTGAACAACAAACAGCCAATTCAGATATTCACGACCAAGAAGTAAGAAGTACTGGATTCTCTTTCGGGGCCCTGAAAGGAGAAGGAAAACTGGAATGCCAACAAGCGTCTCTCTAGACCTTGCGTGAATGCGAGATGCCTTGTGCACCGGACCGGATTATTTTTTTTTCTCCTATAGTTTGATGCATAAGAGTCTAAAATTATGGGTATTTAGAACTTAATTTCCTTTCCAAATGCATCAGAAGCATGTGTTAATGTTTCCAGTTGCTTAGTGACAGAGAAGCAAAGACAAAATAGGGAATCCTAAGCTGAAATAAGACATGTTACAAGACAAATTCTGTCTTTGTCCATGTTTTTGGCACTAACATTTGGTTCATTTATTAATTAACCCCTATTCTGGTCACTTGTAATAAACAACTTAAAATTGTTTGCTAAGATTTCTGGGTAGCTATATTGCAGGTGACTTAATGGGAACTCCTCAAAAGTTTAGTACATGTATTTTGCATGTAAGTTTGAAATTCATAGATATCCTTACCGAGAAATACTTGATGTCCATATTATTTGTCTTATAAGATTTTTGTATATTCTTTTAGAAAGACATTTTAATAACCTTAAGTATAAGAATATTGTCTACTACTTGTTTCGATCACTTCAATAATCATATTTTCTTGTTGTTGTTACTGTTTCCTTTTTTTTTTCTTGAGCCGAGGTCTATCAGAGACAACCTCTCTACCTTTACCAAGTAGGGGTAAGGTCTGCGTATATATTATCCTCCCCAGATCATAGTTGTGGGATTAAATATTGGATTTGTTGTTATATAAAAATATTGTCTACACTTCCTTTATCTCATAAATGTTTTGCTTAATTATCACCACTAACTGGAGCAGTAGGATAAATTAAAAAAAAAAACAGAGTAATAAGTAAATTTTGTTTTGCTTTCTAAAAAATGACAAATATTTTAAAATGAATTTAATTTGTCAAAATGACAAATAATATGTACCCGAGAGAAAATATATAGTCTTCTGATTGCACTGAGAATGAGGTGAAAAAGTTGTATTTATTGTATTTCAAAACAAAGGAGGGAGTATTTTAATATTGGTATTGTGGGCACAGCTTGTAAATCATATAACTATTGGTAGAATTTGCGGCATTGTTAAAGCCTTGATTAGCTTTAATCATGATTTAGAAATTTATAGCCAGCTTGTAAACCTCTCACTTCTTGTTGTTCATAAACACTTTCTGCTGGCAAGTCTGATTTTGCTGGAAAGGGGATACACTGGCAAGAAAAAACGAACTTCAACCCATATTTTTTTTAAATTTCAATCAAATCTGTGTTCAAGCGCAAAACAGAACAACAACAACAATAACATAACTAGTAAACTTTTATGAGTAGGGTATGGGGTGTACGCAAATCTTACCCTACCTTATAAAAATAGATAAACTATTTTCGATAAGTTCTCGACTCAAGAAAACTTGATCCCAGCAGTCATGGAAAAAAAATGGTTGTAAAGAAATTATGAAGAAAAAGAAAACCATTGCCTTATTGAGTCCAAGGTGAATCCAATCAAGATTTTATAATAGAGCCGAACATAAGAAGAGTGAAGTTCAATTTGTTACTCTCTCCGTTTCAATTTATGTGAACCAATTTTCTTTTTAGTCCGTGCAAAAAAGAATGACATCTTTTCTTATTTGAAAACAATTTACCTTTATGTAATGATTTATAGCTACACAAAATATATGTGCTTCATTTTATACTACAAGTTCAAAAGTTTTTTCTCTTTTCTTACACTTTGTGCCCAGACAAATAGGTTCACATACATTGAAACGGATTGAGTAAACTTCGCTTCATGTAGTTCAGTTTAGTTTTAGCTTAGGTTTATTCGGTAAAATAAAATTGAATAAAAAATAAAATAAATAGAAATAAGAATTAATTCGAAATACTAAATAAGAAATAAGAATAAGGAGTCTTTATATCGCGTTACCGAGGACCTCGTTTCAAAAAAATACGCCGCCTAGGGGCTTTACCAGGACTAACTAATAAAAAGCCTAGGAACGGAAGTGATCTTAGAAACCAATCGCATTCCGGGAAAAAATCTCAATATCGTATTCGTCTAGAAGAAAAACAAAAATTGCGTTTTCATTATGGTCTTACAGAATGACAATTACTTAAATACGTTCATATCGCCAGAGAAGCCAAGGAGTATAATATAACTGTCACGTCCCAAACTACCCCTAAGACCTGACTGGCACCCAGCTAACACCACTCGCCAGGCGAACAAATTCATGTACTTAACCTTTTATATAAGCACTGAGAGAAACACGTACAAGTCCAAATGCATTAAATATCACTAAATACGAAGTAATTATCCAACTAAAGCCATAATCTATTTATAAATTCTAACGAGCACTCAAACAATGAATCTCTAACCCAAATTTCATACTAAGACCACAGAGCATCTAACAGAGTAATAGAAGTTTGACTGACGGGCATGCAAACCCGAAAGAAATAATAAACATAAGATAGGTAGAGCTGAAATAGCGGCCTCCACGAACAATGCGGCGGCTCACCTCAGCAATAGAATCCACTCAACGAACTCGTTAGCCACTAGCCTCGTCCTCAGCAATAGTATCTGCATAAACATGCAGGTAAGGAGTGAGTTATACGTAAATATAACCCAGTAAGATCCTTGACCCACCACTCTGAATACCTCTGGAACAAATGTTAGAAAATACAAACACACAAAGAGCACAGAAATAATATGCACAAAAATTCTTTCACCATATAATTACTCTATAAGGCCTAGACAATTATTCAACAACAATACTATATATATCTCAACACAATCTACACTAAGGACTTATCATTAATGGCAGTGTAGGAAATTAACCAAACACCACGACGAGTCCACGACGGCATAACAATGCCCCAAATCTATCACGGCGGCATACACAATGCCCCAAATATATTACGGCGGCATACACAATGCCCCAAACCTATCACGGTGGCATACACAATGCCCCAAATATATAACGACAGCGAAGAAATAATTTCTAACGCCCCAACGCCATAGCACGAGGCTACGCCACACCGCATCACAAATCACTTATTAAATGCTTTAGCTTTGTACAAAATAATATATATTTGCGGCTAGTCAATGACCACTGATTCTGCCAAGCGCACACTTGTCCCAACACATGGACCAGGTAGACAAAATATATTTTCCAAACGGATTTTAGAAAAGCAAACATCAAAGCTTAAAGTCTCACTTACCTCGTTATCGAGAAGTTTTGCAACTTTGCCACGTCTAGTCCACCAATCAAACGGCCTCCAATGGCCTCAATCTATCCAAAATATTGAATAACACACCCTAATTAGTCTAGGTGAACAGTTTCCATAATCTTAGGACGTGTCAAAATTAAGGTCATCCCTCAATTCAATTAATAAAAATCTATACACGACTAATATCAAACGTGGCATTTTCAACAGTAGAAAAAATGCGGAAACAATGGTCTCATATATAAGCCAGCAGTTCCCAAGTAATGGTTTCTCATACTAACAAAATTGACTACTTTATTCTTATGCTATTACAAATTACTATTCAATAATTACAACATCATTAGTTAAATCACTATGTTACCAGTGCAGTGATCTAAACCCCATATTTTATACTTTAACTCCATTAATCTAAATTCAAGATTGTCTCCCCTAATTATTGGCTTACTCATGAATGCTATCACTTTTTACTTCCCAATCATCACTATTTTTATTACCATAACATAATCAATGCTAATAAATAGCAAGTGAACTACAGTAACATCGATATGATACCTGTTTGTGAATCGTGTTTATTTTTCCAGTGCTATCGCCGCCGCCCGTCGTTCCCTTCTCGTGGAAAAATTCCTTCGTTATATATATATATATATATATATATAAGTAAACCTCAATTATTTCTTTTTCTACCAAACTAAGGATACCGATTATAATATCTAATCAATGAGTAAGTGGTGAGCTTGACCCACTTATTAACCTTTTAAATACTAACTAAATTCACTTCCTTCCACTTTTAAATTTATAATATGTAATTGGCTCATTAACCACCTATTTAATACAGTATCTTATATGTTATATTAAATCATCTTCCAGTATTTTAGTACTTTTCCAATAGCCATAAATAAATTAATTCACTAATCTCGCAATTAATAAATATTAAAAAAATTGGGTTATTACAATAACCGAGTTTTAAGTGAGAATCGATGCTTTATGTCCGTGGATATTTTAAAAATTAAATAAGCTAGTTGAATAAGAAGAAAAATGTAAGAATAAATATTTAGATTGAAATTAAATAGAGACGGAGCTATAGTTTTCTTTTGGTACAAGTATTTAGGGGATTACAGAAATATTAAAGATAATAGTAAAAGTTCCTTCACCGTCAAAATTGAAGGGTGAGAATTAATTATTACAATTAATAGAGTCAACCTAAAAATAATTTGCGAAGACAGGATTTATATATGTGACCTCAAAGTGCCTTGTAAGCTACTCCCTCCGGTTCACAATAAATGATCAGTTTACTATTTTATTTTGGTTCAAAATAAGTGTCCAGTTAAGTAATCAAGAAAAAATTCAATTTGTTTTTACTCTTTTACCCTTA